AGAACAAAGCCACAGGGGGGTTTCTGGATCTCTAATTCTCTGACTAATTGAGTCAGAGAACCAATTTTTTTAATGCCTCTTTCTCTTCAAGCCCATCAGATCAATGTTAGGTGCATCTAAATATCTGACTGCCATTTTTTAACCAGTATGAAACAACCCCAGAATTAACTTTACTAGCAAAACACCTATATACCAAATGTTACAAGCTTGTAATAACAAGGCATCTTGGTTCATGGACAGAACTACATATGTGATCGGTACTATTTTTTTAAAAAAATGATCCATGTTAGTATGTTTATGGAGAGTTACTGGTAAGTCATGAAATGGAAACTTCTCCACTTGAATCTAATGCATTTAGGGTCCTTCTATATAAATCTGTTGAGCTGGTTATCCACTCTGTCTACACTGAGGTTCAAGGGCCACATGCAGATACTTATTCTGCCTCCTCTATCCCTGATTTAGTAAGATCTGAAGACACTGTAGCTGTATGAATGCCATTATTCCTTTTTTCTATAATTAGTACAGTAATCTTTATTCTTGATGTTATTTCCAATAGATCTTTTGTATGGTATCTGGATTGCTGGATCTGCAGATAGACAACACATGACTGTTAAAAAGGCCACAAGATACTAATGGTTAAGATAGTTTAGAAGGAAACATCTGGAGCAGATCCCACTTGCCTATACAAAATTTCATGATCCCTAACTAAAGACTAATACTTCCCTCCACTTCATGGATAGCCACTAGTACTCTTCCTAATAGCAAAGCAGAGTCCAAAATAGGCAGGCAGGCAATTTTTACTACTGCAACCAATTACTGTGCATTGAAAACATACCAATTATATAAATAATATGCTTTTAAATGTAGATGAACCTTTACTTCCAAATAACTTCCTTGTCTACTTTTTTAACTGAGAAATTGATAATGGCTTTAACCTACCTTATTCCCAATTCAAATGCTTTGTGAAAATCTATGCTTACTAATACATTGCCTAAATGGATAGTTATGAATACTTAAGGAATCAAGAGAACATATGGAAATAACTGCATGAAAATGTTTGAATGTGCTTATTTGTCAGATGTATTATCCATCTAGCATCTAGATGAAACATGGCAAGAATATTTACATGAGTACAAGTTCAAGAGAGTGTAACAGTCCTCAGTACCTAAGTAATTAAAAGCCTAAACACCCCATACCAGAAAGTTGTAGTATGATCTCTACAGTTATTGTGGCTTTACAAGCAGGCATACATGTTCCTATATAAAGTGATATACAAAAGAAAACCAGAATTTTGCAGTTATTTCCCATGATGTTACTCAGATATACCGGTAGGTAAAAATCTAAATATTTTGAGTAATCAGAACACTACAATCAAAACCACATGAAACATGAGTCCAATGAACTCAAGAGTTAAATAACTTGCTTTATTTTGCATCTGTCCAAAAGGAACCAGGTTTTGGATGTACAGTCAAGAGGAAGTTGAAATGCTTTTAGTAAAAATTTACATTTTCACAAAAGGGGTAGAGGTAGGGAAATAGTTGATAAAAGGCAGATAGACATGAAATCAAAGAACTGTGGCTGCTGCTTTTGCCAAACTGAAGGAGCAGTTTGCCAAAAGTAAACAAAAAAGGAATTTGAGTACATATTCTATCCTTCTATTCTGCCCTGTTTTAAAAACAAAATAAAAGAGTTAAACAGGAACTGTATACATGATGAAATGTTAGCCTGAAGAGTGATATTGATGTCCACATACTCACTTTTCCATGAAACCCACTATTAAAAGACTGTGCTGTTCAGAATAACTTGCTCAGAAAATACTGATTTGTTTGAAAGGAACAAATCTTTTAAATTTGCAAAAACAGACTAATCACAGAAAGGTAAGAATTTCTTTCTGTCTCTAATCCACCATTTTTTGTCAGTTAATGCTTCTTTCATTTGCTTCTTTCTTGTCATTATGTGGACAAATGCCAACTTAGTTTATCCTGCTAAAAGTAATTCTAGTTTGCTGTAGTTTTTAATTGCATTACACCAAGTTTCCCTAACACCAAGGGAAAGAAAGAATTATTTAGAGACAGTCTTTTGTTCTGGCATCTTTGCAATGTGCTATTTGTCAGTGGCACTCTATCACAGCAATGACTGAGTTACAGTGGAGACCAACTCTTGCATGTGTTTAGCATAGACTGCCTCTTAGATACTACACAGTGATTTGTTCTAAAATAAGCATATATATTTAATCAGTCACCCACACACTTCCCCATATAGCTCCTTTTGGAAATAAGTGGAAAGAACATATCATTGTCTTGTTGTGAGTTTTTGCTTCCTTTCTCTTCAATCCTCATTGCCAGCAACAATCAGTCTTGAAGAATGCATTATGAAAAGAGAATGCACTGCTACAGTGCATTTTACATTGATATGAGTGACATCAGAGCTAGGGAGAAACTAAGCCACAGAGTTTACTGGAATGCAGATTTTATGCGGTTCTTTCACCGTCTGCCTTTTACAGTACCACACTTATATTTCTCATAATTGGATGTGTAACATTCATCCACCTAGTGCCTTAGTTCAGTCAAAAAGGTTGCAAGGGGTTGCTTTCAACCCATTTTTCAGAATAAGCATGTTGCCATGTGTCTTATGACCTCTTTCTGCATGCACACATGCATGAATGTGTACACATTTGCAATCAGCTTAAATACTTCATGTTTAAATTATCAAAAAAGACAAAGAATAAATATTAATTTGTTACAGCACACATTTACCTACTCCTGTTCCTATCTTTCTACTCCTTTGGTTTCTTCCATGTTCTATTTCATAAATACAGTACAAATTATGTTTCATTGTTTATAGAGAACTGTATTTAATCAATGATTTGCTGGAAAATCTAAGTAAAATTTCAGTAGGAAGGCTTATATTATAGACTGTTGCTACCCTTACATGAATTTACATTACACTGTATTATGATCATCAAATATTGGGAAACTTAGTACTGACTTTGGTGATTCCTGAAAGGTCAAACAAGGCAAAGCTGAATACCAAGGATATAACTGATGTAAATGCTTTTGTGCCCCTGATTTAAAACGGACTGCATAGGTTCTCTTTCTCTGTAAAACAATTCTGACAGCGCTATCCAATATCTTTATTGAGAATCAATTCTGTTGAATTTGATGAAGAAAAAAATAATTGCTTCTTTGAGTTTTCTTTCTAGATAATGTCTGGCAGGTTCTACAAGAAGGTTATGTGTCTACAGTTGCAGAAAACCCTGGATAAAGCAGATTATCTGGACTTTTTAAGTTGGATTTTAGGTCTGGATGTGGAACTGAAACTTCTTTGATTGCTTTTGTGCATTACTTGTGGTGAATAGAGATGGAGTGAATATGAGCTCTTGCTAGATCTTTCATCTGCCTTTGGTAACATTGGTGATGTTGTCTCATCTTTGACTGATGGGAGTGGGAAACACTATGATTCTCCTTTTTGCTCTAGTTGGTGGTAGGGAATATTACAGGGCCAACTCTGTCATTCCTCTTTCAACACTGGGAGAGATCATGGGATAAAGACAGGTATCACTATAATGCTAATGATTGAATTATATCTCACTCCCTGGGCCAAATTGCTCCCTGGGCAATTAAAGCTCTAAATTTGGGGCTTGGAAGTTGTTCTCGATGGGAGGTAAATGGGCATAGAATTCCAGAAGGTTAGAGTGGTAACTGGAAAATGGAACTGGGTTTAATGGATGGTGGTGGCCTGACATCTTCTATTCCATCAGAAATCCAAGGACAACATACAACCAGTCTGAACCAAATAAGAAATAATTCCACTCATGACTTTCTCTTTGGCTTTGAAATTTCATCTATGTTTTTTCACACTGTATTAGGAATTTTATTAGTTAATTTTAAAAACCCATAAAATCTAAGGCTCTCAAGTTTCTGAATTCTGTACATGTGATATATATAGTACACAAAATACAGGGTATTGCAACTGGTAAGTAGCTATAGAGTGACCAAGATTTCTATAGCTATCAAAGATGAAGTATGTGTCTTTTTCATGGTTTAGATTAGAATGATAGATTTCAAACAATGTATTTTGCTCCATGTTTTTCTAAGTGCAATCAAAACATAAATAACAATAAAAACAGGCCGATATTCCTCTAGTATAATCTGGCCCCTTGCATTTGGATTATCCCGTTCAAGTAAATAAAAGTTGATTTAAACTTATGTACTCATTCCCTAGAAATGATACTGGACCTATCTAGGTTCATAAAATAACTGGTAACAAGACACTGAAAGTCCCAAAGCAGCTTGTACATAATTATATAGTATTTTTCTTGCCAAAAGCACATTAGTTCTCTTAAAAAAAATCCAGATGATATTTCATTAATTTGGAAAGAATTGGCTGTTCTACTTGTAGCTATCTAGCTGCTGCTGCTTTTGATTTTAGAATACAAGAGAGACTCACGTTAGGTATACTCTTGTGCCAAACAGCCAGAATAATATTTCACTGAAGCTGACCCTGCATTTATAGCTTCCTTTCCAGCATCCTATTCCCCGGTTTTCCTTTCTTGAAAAGAGCTATATAAAATATCTGAACTCAGCTAGAAATGAGTACTGCTTACTAATTTTAAATCACTTTATTTGATCACACGTTTCTCTATATTCCCTACACACAATAGTAGGGGGTTCCAGTTCTTTTATTACTCTTTCCTTGCAACTTCCCTTTCCATTAAAAGCAGGAAAATGTGCCAGTTCCCATGCTAGATGTCCATATTTGTTAGTCTTGGGTGCACTAGCAATTAAAAATTACTACCAGATTTCCTTGAAAGCTAACCTAGCAATGCTTAACACTCATACAATATATGCAAAAAGGGTTTATATTTAAGAGCTCTCTCTTAGCCCTCTCTAATACAAACACCTGAGGCTGCCAATAGGAGAATCCGTAATGCCTGCTCTCTGGGAAACAACATTAAATGTAGCCACTAAAGAGAGGTCTGGCCTAGTTTTCGGGCCAGAAAAATGATAACACTCGCTTAACAAACACTACAGGATTTATTTTGTTATGTGGTTGTTAGATCTATCCTAATGTAACAATAATTGATAGGGGTGTGGAAGTTATTTGATTTTGTTTGTCATAATTTGGAAACAGGTAAAATCAAGGGACTCCAGAAGCCAAATATGCATCTACATGGATCTTGCCGTTTTAGCAAGTGAACAAGTAAGAATTGCATTCCCATCTTTACATATTAGTCTCATTATGTAGCAGGATGCTTACTAGATCAGATAGTTTTTGATGACAGGTATCAAGCCTTTGAACATTTTTTCCCCTTCCTTTTGTACTGTCTTCCTGAGATCAGTGCATTATACTTCTTGTGAATACAAGAAATACATCATGTGGAGGCAGTGCAATGCAGATAATATTTATCTGATATATTCCTCATCAGAGGTGCTGGATACATCTTCATCAGTACTTTCATGTAAATCTGGTAAGTTGCCCCAAAGCAAGAAATCTGTACCTAAAAGAAACGTAAATCAGATATTTTATACATTTTGTGGTCATGATCTGAAGTTAATTTAATAAAGCACAACATATCCCAATGTATTAATATACATTGATGGACCTCTCAATTGATGGGATATGGGCAACAGTGTGTTAGTTTGCAAGGTTAACTTGCAAAATATAGATCTTAGTTTGCAGAAATCAACATAAGCAAGGCTGACATAAAATTAATCTATGTCCAAACTGACTTCACTGTGCCCTCATGTTATCAAGAAATGCTGCATACACATACAATTAACACTACTAACCTAGTCTATTCCTTCTTTATTGACTTATGATCAATAACTGCATTGATGTGAAAGCCCTGACTGACCAAAGGAATGATGGACAGAAGATGTCAATATCTGTGAGCCCATATGGAAGATAGAGAATTGGAATATAAAAGGATGAGATGACAAAGAATTAACAGTAAATTAACAGATTAAATGGAAGTGAAGACAAATAATTCTGTTGTCTATTTGTGAAACTAAGAGAGAGGAAAGGTGGGATATATTAGTGTCTGATCTAATGGAGTTGATAAATGGGATTTGTGTAGATTTATTTATGAATGAAAGAGCTAAATATATGTCAGAAAATATGAACTGGTACATTGATGTTGATCTGTGTGTCTATAAAAGCAGCAGTCTTAAATTGATTATATAATAGTTGTGTGTTACCTTCCGGAGAATAGTAACAATGCAAGAATGAGGCTTGCTTTTTGGAGTTGGAAGCACTGTATAACATTTTGAATAAATATGATTTAAAGGAAAAGGAATTTTATTACGTATGATATGAATGGAAAAATGAGTGGGAATGATGGGAAAAATATAGAAAAAATAATGCTATTATACTCCTATGGAAGAGGAATGTGGATCACAAACTAGATGGGCATTAGACTGTTAAATGACTCTGGAAAGTTAGCTGGTTGAATTCTGTCCTAAGAACACCAGGGTGACAATTAGTAACATTTGGCAAGTTTTATACTTGGGAATGTGCAAATCTTTCAGCAAGTCACTGTGAAACAAATCAGTGTGAGAAATTTACTCTCTGTCTGTTGTTTTTGAGAAAGCTTATGATAGTGTATAGGCTCAATATAGGGAATGTTTTGAATGAATATGGAGTTGAAAGTTGCTGAATGTGGCAAAAAGTGGAATATGATAGAAATAAAGCATGTGTTATAAAAACAGCAAGCAGCGGTCAAATGGATAATTGGATTCTCAGTGAAGGAAAGGCACATATGACGGATGGGAACATTATACAGAATATAGCTCGGTGTGGTATACAGGCAGATGGAATATATGCTATTGATTAATCTGGGAAAGAGAGATGGTGGGTGTGATGAAGGAAAAAAATGGCAAATTTAACTATTGTACTACTGCTTTATAAATTGTTCATCTCTGAGTGTAGTAGCTCATGAAGAAATCTGCTTAATAGCATGTAATCATAGCATATGGTTTTACTATGAGTTGTTGTACTACCATCTGGCATTTGCATTAAGTAACATCCAACACATATCACCTTAAATTTACACTAAATTTGCTGACCAATTAGCTGCAGTCTGGTGATTATTTGCTAATAATCACACATCACCTAAGCAGAATACATGATTAAGATACTGTATTTCAACACTAAGAATATGTTCACTTCCTTAAGCAGGTGTTTCGAGTTTGGTTGATGGACTAAGGGATTTCCAATAAAAAATAAAATAGATCCAACAGATATGAAATTTGTTCTTCTTTCCTTGCCCATGCTTTATAACAGGCATTGCACTATAATAAAAACAGAGTTACAAAACAACAGAAGCATCATAACAATTAATTTCATACTATGCGCAGAGTAGAAGTTTCATACCAGATGAATCAAATCTGTCAATTCCAAAAACAGCTTTACTGTGAAACATCCAGAAGTGTCCGTTGTTGCAAGAGAGCAAGCAAGGTTTGCATGGAGCAATCACATGGTAGCCTACAGTATTACCGCTAGAAGAGCAAATGAAGTATATTATATGCAAAATTTAAATCAAAGACTATGTAGGGAAAAAAAATTATACAAATGATAGATATGCAAATGTATCCTACTTATATATTGAACGAATAAAAATAAAATCCTTTCCTCTACCAAAAATAATGCAGCAATAGACTAAGTAGTGAGCAAAATGGAGTTTAGAAATAATCTGTACCTTTAACCTCCAAATGTAGTACTGTGTTTATAAAATAGATTAAATTAATTTCAATTCCAACAGAAAATAAAACATAACTTTAAAATGGAAGATTAATTTCTCTTCCCAAACTGAATAGATCTGGAAATTGTGAACTCTAATGCTTACTGATTCTGTGTCAAATTCACATCCAATAGACAACACACATATGCACAATATATGTATGCATACATACACATACACACAAAGAAAAATAGTTATATGCTTTCTGTTTTCTTAAATGAAAAAAATGAATATATTATGGTAAAGTTCTATAATTTGTCAACTTTTTTATTTGTATTTGGAGTACTGTTTTGTGAAACAGCAAAATAATTAAAATAATGGTAATATAATTCAAAATGGAGCCAAGGAGGACCCGAGTAGTTGATTCACTGCTGGAATCCAAGCCCCAACAGTTTATGCTGTTCAAAATTTTGGGTGCTCCCACCACTCCCACATATTTTTATAGCAGCTTCAGGCTACTTTGGTTAAAATTGGACTCCCACATTTCTAACTGAAGCTTTCTTTCTATCTTGCAATAGCAGGGTCATCTGATGTAGCAGACCCCATCCCAGTTGGTGACATTTACCAACACATTATTCTATTTCACTTTTGCTATCAATTTATTGTGCATAGCATACGAAACTGACAAACTCTGAGAGAAATAGTTAAAATAAGAGAACGCTTGAAACAGCTGCAGAGACATCTAACTTATACACACAGAATTATTTAGTTTGGAAAATTTATATGGCGTCAGTGATATTGAGCGGCTTATAAACAGTGAAAACCCAGTATAAAAATAAAAAAAGAGCTGGCTGTTCTTTATGTGATCAACAATACAAAATATACAGAAATTCAAAAGGTTCAATATTTCCTAGATCCAGAAATTTCATCTACCTTACCTCTGCTGTTTCTTTTCTTTCTTTTTTTTTATTTATAAAAAGCCAATAAAAATGGAGAGCAATTTTGTAAGAGGGAATTCAGCTCATTAATGACTCACTTATATGACAATTTATTTGTATACCTTGAATGTCTTATTTTGGTATAGAAACCCAAAACACACATTAGTTTACTATATTTTTAATTCAATACTTCCACGATTATTTAGCAGTAATCACACCTCTTTTAACTCTTGTATAGAAATGAGCAATAGACATAGCTAACAATATTTTTATATATTAAAAATACTGTAATATTACTCACCATTTCAAACAAGCAACATTCATCAGTTTACATTTGCACATTTCTGTGTGATAGCAGTTTCCAATGAAGTCAACTGTACTGGTAGGGATTAGAAAAGAAAAATACTGGATATGATTAAAATAAACTTTATTATCGCTTAACTATGAAATATAGTAAAATTCTAATAGAGTGTTATTCCCTTTGTTTATTTTTCATTTATATATCTCTTTCCACAATCATAAACCTCTCTACTGTGAAAGAAGTACAGTAAAACTACTGTTGAAAGGTGTCAAAATGCCTTTCTTTCGAGGATTCGATTTTCCTGCTGGGAGACCTCCGGCGCAAGGATACGGACAACTGGTTGAAAGCTGGATCTTTTTATTTTTCAGGAAGGCGGAGAACAGCGAGAAGTCTGCGTTCCTGGGCTAGCTAGCTTCTTATGGTAAGTCCCTGGTTTTTTATACCCTTTTCTCCCTTTGTAAGTTGATTTTGTGTGAGTGTTTGTATTTGTGCCTAATGTTTCAAATCCTGTTTGAGTTTGTCTTTATTTCCGCCGGAGGGCAAACTCCGCGGGGTGGCCAGATTGTATTATTGGTTTTCTGTAATCTCTTTTAGCTTTAAGATAGTTTTTCATATTTGTTCTGAGGCAATCTCCTGTCTGTCCCTTTTGTAATTTATATTTTGTATCTTTTGTCTGTTTGTTTTGCTTATTTGGTATGTCCTGTGTTTGTAAGGGTTTTCTAAATTATCTTTTGTTTCCTTTTCCTATTTGTCTAGTTTTCTTAATTACTTAGGCTTTTGTCTATAGGGATTCTTTAATACTTTCTATTTGATTCCTTTTCCTATGTAAGTTTGTTTTCTGGCTGATGTTCCCCTTGGGCTTTTCCTGTTTTTTTGTGACACTACTGCCTTCATGAAATTCCCTTTCCACACTATCTTAACTGGTAAATAAATTCAACTTTCTAAAGTTTTGACAAGAAGTCCTTTTCTTGCAAGGATTCTCCAAAAATGAAGAAAACATGCTGAGTTGTCAAAGGACCTTTGATTTATAGGTGCCTTTTTCATGCTAGAATTAAGACAATTCTGGTTTCTATAGCATAGCCTTCCCCAGTTTGATGTGCTCTAAGATGTAGGAGTTTAACATTGCCTATTATCTCAAACCAGGATGATCAGTGTAATGGTTTAGGAAATACTATTGTAATTCATTACATGAAAGTGAACATTTCTATTATGATCCTAAGTTTGGAGAGAAAAACATTTTAATTAAAAATTAAGAGTCAACATTTCTCTTCACACTGAAACCAATGCAGTGATTTTGTTTTGCTTTCTAAGACTACATCGTGACAACATAGATAACATGCAGGATCTCAGCAAATCGCAAAGCACAAATAGTCTGATTTGTATGGACTTGGTTTAATGTGTTCCATAAACCCAGCCACTGTGTTCTTCAAGACTGTAATCCCATTTACTAAATACAGAGTAAGTCCCACAGATACAAATCCTACTATCATTAGGTGGGGCTATAAGGCTGTAATCCTATTAATCTTGGTAGATAACAACTACCAACAGCTTTAAGAATATTCAGTTCCAAATAATATGCCTACAACTAAATTGCCGATAAAAAAAAATCTATTCTGAAATATTCCTAAAGTTGTAGCTGTTTTCAACTGTACTTAGATATGTTTTATAGTAGTCAAAGATCAGTAGCAACATGGGTAGAAATGTTAGTTTCTTAGAATCTATTTCAGATATATTCATTTTAACTCTTTTTATCTTGGTTTTGAATTTTCAGTTAAAAATGTACAAAATTTGAAAAACACGTATGTAACTAATTACATAGTTTTTAGATATTTTGCCTTTCATTTCCCAATGTATTCTAAAGTACATTTTATAGATACTTTGAGTAGAAAACTACATTGCAAAGTTTAGATATATAAAATTCAAAATATTTTGATGTGCCTATTACTCAGAATTGAAAAGCAGGCCCAATGGTGTCAAACTTCTGAAGCAACTTTACCTTTCATAGAATTGTTAACTTGAAGAACACCATTCTGAATTGTCAAGGGATATTGATACTGTTATTACAGTATAACATTGCATTATATTTCTAGCTATCAATATAAGATTAAAAAAAGTTAGCTGCTTTGCCAACATTCAAGCAATGCTGCTAGTTTAATTTATTCAGAATTTTAGTCTCAAGTTTTCATTAATGCAGGTGAGACTATTTGCTAATTAGCTGACAATGCTGCTACAATAAATTTACAGCAACTCATTTTTAGACCTATGTCCATTGACCACAGGTGGGTATGTTTCTTCTGAATGAATCCTATGGGGTCCAAACTGTTTTGCTGAAAATGGGCGTTGGTACTTACCTGACACGCCCGTTCTCGTCGAGCTGCATAGAGCATCCAGAGTGGAGGTGCTCCAGTCTTCGCTCTTACAGGCTGAGCTATAATTGAGGAACGCTCCTCCTCCTCCTCTACATGACTCCTCCGTAGCGTTCCCCAGTTTTACGAAGACGAGAAGACAAACAGCTATCCTCTCATCTTAACTATTGTACAAGTCTCAACTATGAATTGTTTGAATCATTGGCCGAAACAGGATTCCCCACCAGACAGACCAATTAGGGTGGGGCTGGATGCTCTACGCAGCTCGACGAGAACGGGCGTGTCAGGTAAGTACCAATGCCCATTCTCCATAGAGCTGCTGCGAGCATCCAGAGTGGGACATACCAAAGATGGCCTGTCCTACGGGAGGGACTCCGTCTGGTTCGGAATATCCTCTGGTTCTTTCACTACTTGTTGCAGGACTCGCCTGCCAAAGGACGCTTCTGCTGAGGCAAAGACATCGATTTTGTAATGGCGAATAAAGGTGATGGAGACGCCCAGGTAGCCGCTCGGCAGATATCGTGTATTGATGCCTGAGTAGCCCAGGCTGCTGAGGTAGCCGCACTCCTTGTAGAATGAGCGGTTATTCCGCTAGGAACAGGAAGCGCTTGACATAAATAGGCCTTGGATATTGTAGCTCTGATCCAACGGCCAACGGTAGATGGAGATACTTTGAAACCCAGCGTCTTTGGTTGAAATGACAGGAACAATGACTCTGACTTCCTAAAAGGATGAGTGCGATTGATATAGATACGAAGTGCCCATCGGACATCGAGAGTATGCCACTGCCTTTCCCTTTCTCGAGAAGGTCTGGGACAAAAGTTAGGAAGGATAAGTTCCTGTGATCTGTGGAAGGCCGAGTTGATCTTGGGCAGGAAGGAAGGATCTGGTCGAAGGACCACCCGATCAGCATGGAAAACGCAGAGATCCTTTCTAACGGACAGAGCTGCTATTTCAGATATCCGCCGTGCAGAAGTGACTGCTACGAGAAACACCACTTTGAACGTGAGGAACTGAAGTGACGCCTCCCTTAGAGGCTCAAAGGGAGGTTTAGTCAGCGCCGTGAGTACCTTATTAAGGTCCCAGGTCGGGTATCTGTGAATTACCGGAGGGTGCAGATTGGTGGCACCTCTAAGGAATGCTCGGATGCGAGGGTGGTGTGAAAGCGAGCCAGAAGAGTTGCCAGAGACAACAGTTGATAAGGCTGCAACTTGCCTTCTCAAGGTATTGGGGGAGAGGCCCCTGTCCAGCCCGTCTTGCAGGAAGGCCAGAATTTGTGCAATTGATGGGGAAAGCGGATTGATGAGGGACTTGTGGCACCATTTACAAAAAATGTTCCAGGTTGCATTATATATGCGGGTGGTCGAAGGCCGTCTTGCTGCCAGCATGGTATTGATGACCTGATTGGACAGGCCTTCATTTCTTAAACGCTCCCGCTCAACCTCCAGATGGCTAACTGAAGCCACTGCAGATTTGGATGCTGAAGAGGTCCCTGGGACAGCGAGACCCTGTCTGACGGAATCCTCCAAGGAGGGGCCACTGACAGGCTGCGAAGATCCGCAAACCACGGTCTCCTGGGCCAGTATGGGGCAACCAGAAGAACTTCCGCCCTCTCGAGGATCAACCTTTGGATCACCTTGGGAATTAACGGGAAGGGGGGAAAGGCGTATAGAAGCCCTGTAGGCCAGGGGCAACGTAGGGCGTCGTGATTCTCTGCCCCCTTGGTGGGGTACCGTGAAAAGAATCTCGGTGTCTGGCCGTTGAGCGGTGACGTGAACAGGTCCACCAGTGGTTGACCGAATATCGCTGAGGCCTCCTTGAACAGGGAGGGGTGTAGGTGCCATTCCGACTGGTCTAAGGTGGCCCTGCTCAACCAGTCGGCCTGAACGTTTGAGACCCCTGAGATGTGTTCTGCCCTGATGGATAAAAGGTTGGCCTCTGCCCAGCGACAGAGCCGCTCAGTCTCCTTCATGAGGCGGATAGAATGTGTGCCCCCTTGACGGTTGATGTGAGCCTTGGTCGTAGTGTTGTCCGTCAGGACCAGTACATGGCACCAGCGCACTTGAGGGAGGAAGGTGCGTAAAGCCAGGTATACTGTGTGGAGCTCCAGCCAGTTGATGCTGCAGCGTTGCTCGGTTGCTGACCAAGTTCCCTGAGCTGAAAATGAATGGGTGTGGGGCCCCCATCCGGATAGGCTGGCGTCTGTCGTGAGGGTGACCCTTTGGGGCTCCTTGAAAAGATGTCCCTTGTTGGTAGCGGGTCTGGTCCACCAGAGGAGCGAAGCGAGAACCTTTGGAGGAACCTTCACCATGGCTCTTGAATTGCTTCTTCCAGAGCGCTGATAAGGTAGCAGGAACCACTGCAGAGATCTGGAATGTAGCCGGGCCCAGGGAACAATGGATATGCATGAGACCAATTTGCCAAGTAATTTGGATAAGTCCAGTAATGAAGCTTTTCTTGCCCGTCTAATGTCCCTGATCGATTTCTGGATGCTGTGGAACCTCTCAGGGAAAAGGAAGACCTTCCCTTCGACTGAGTCAATCACTGCCCCTAAGTGAGCTATTCGGGTGGAAGGGGTAAGCTGACTCTTCTCCCAATTTACGAGAAGACCATGGGCCTGAAGCACCGAGAGGGTGGTTCTAGTGTCCCTCTCGGCTTGGCGTTGGGTGGGGGAGAGGATGAGGATGTCATCTAGATACCAGTGAATGCAGATGGGGAAGTTCCTGAGGTGAGCCGTTAGAGCTGCCAGCACCTTGGTAAAAGTCCTTGGAGCCGAGGCTAAACCAAAGGGAAGTGCCACGTACTGAAAATGTTGGCCGTTGTAGCAAAATCTCAGAAATTTGAAAAATGAGGGATGAATGGGAATGTGAAGATATGCTTCTGAGAGGTCAATGGAGGTGAGCCAGTCTCCCTTCCTGGTGCCCTGCAAAATGGACTGAAGTGTATGCATCTTGAACTTATGACGGACAATGTAACGATTGAGCCTCTTCAAGTCTAGAATGGGCCTACAACCTCCGGAGTGTTTAGGAACTAGGAAGAGGTGGGAGTAGAACTCCTTTCCTCGCTGCGAGGGTGGTACGGGCTGTATGGCCTCGATTTCAGAGAGGTGTTTGATAGCGGCTTCTATGAGAGCACACTTGTTACGATCTCTGGAAAGAGGGGAAACCATGAAATGCTCCGGAGGGGGGGACCAAAACACAAGGGAGAGGCCAAATTTAACAGTGTCCTTAACCCAAAAATCAGAAGTGGATGATTCCCATTGGTCGGCAAAATGTTTGAGGCGTCCGCCAATGGGATAAGCGGCTGAAAGCCTATCTGGGGTGCCGGGATGCTTTCCTTCCTGCACCCTGGAAGGGCCTCCTGTAGCTGACCCTCCTCCTGTTCCTGTCACCCGTGTCGCCCCGGTCCTGATAGGCTGGCCGAAATGGCAGGGATCTCTGAAATCTGGGGGAGAAGGGAGTCTGAAAGGAGGTACGAAAGGAGCCCCTTCGAAAGGGCTGGGACACTCTGGACTCTTGTTTGCGAAAAAGAGATGGGAGGAATTTCTTTTTATTCCGGCTTTCCATCAACAATGGTTCCAGGGCCGGACCAAATAATTTGCCTCCCGAGATGGGAGCAGAAGCCAATTTAGCTTTATTCTTAATGTCCGCCTGCCAGTGTTTAAGCCAAAGCAGACGCCAAGCTGTAACGTGTGAAGAGATAGCCCGAGAGGAAAATTTCACAGAGTGGAAGGTAGCGTCGGCCGCAAATTCCGCTGCGGCCGTAAGTTTGGCAATGTCCTGGTGTGCCCTGGTGTTAGATGGGGGGGACATGCTGCTTCAACTGGCGGAGCCATCTAATGGAAGATCGAGTGAAAAATGATGCGGCCGTGGCTGATCGAATGGCCCAAGCATCGGATTGATGCGCCCGACGTAGCGCCATCTCGGCCTGCTTGTCCTCTGGTTTTAGCACTTCCAGAGCGTCAGTTGGGTTAGAGGATGATGCTAGCCTCACTATGGGGTCATCCACCTCGGGAGTGTCTAACAAGGCAGAGAATTCTGCATCGAGATTAAAAAATCTCTTGTCCTGATTGGAGGGAGCGGGGGGGAGGCCCTGATGAGGCCAACTGTCTTGCTACTAAGTCGGAGAAAATGGGTGGTGTAGGAATGACTTCGGTCTCCACAACCGGCTGCTTGAAAATAGAATCCTCTGGGTCTCCAGAGGCTGCTGGGGAGGAATCAGAGGGTGACTGAGATATCAGGCCCGAAATATTTTTTGCCTTGAATAGCAAGGACTTGAACAAAGAAAACCCTGAAATTATAGGCTTAAAATTAAACAATTTTCTGATCTTTAGCTTTACGAGTCTAGCTTTCAGGAAAGTACTATTTAAGAATACATATTAAATTGTTCCAAACAAATGATATGCTATATTTCCATAATTAATGCAGAGTATAATATTGAAATTTTTTAAAGACAATATATGAGGATGCTTCACTGCTTACAGTATTTCCAGGCTATGTGTTTCCATGCAATATACTGACTGAAGCTGTATTAGGTATTACACTGCTGTATTGTGTCTGTTATATGCCAACATAATTTACAGTTCTTGCAGTGAAGCAGAGGGGATATAGGTAATAATGCCAATGTAATAATCTGTTTTGCAATCTTCTGCTTTGAGAGCAAAACAAAACTTTTGTGGCATGTCAAAGGCTACACCCTTAAAAACATTTGGAACCAAGATCTATTGGAATAAGGGTAGATGGGAAGTTTTCAGTTAAGTAATTCTTAGTTAAAAATTTAGGACCTGTCTACTTTGGGATGGAGTTCTCTGAATCATATATGATCCATTGGCAAAACTTTCTGCAGCTCTGCTTTAGGCCTAGACAGGAATTGTAACAAGACGATATTGTAAAAGCCAGGATTTGCTTAAATCTCTATTGATTAGATTCATACATAACACTATTGAAAGTTGTACTTCAAGGCCATAAGTAGGGTTAACATAGGTAGAAACACAAAGTCTTCATTGTCTTCTTCCAAACTCAGTGGCAATGAGTCCTACATTTCTGGGAAAATGCTAGGAAGAAAAAAAAATCTAACAAGGGTACAACATTTCAATACCCAATGCACATTTGCATTTTTTAAAATCATTTGGGGCTTTTTGACATGACAGAAAATAATGAGATGGCAAGTAGCATTTATCAGTTGTGTTTGTCATTTACGTTTTTCCACTTATAAGCTCTGTGTTTTACATTTAGCCACTTAGTTGCATCAGAACATCAATAGCTATGATGTTAAACTATTAATTATGCCAAGCAAAAGAAACAAAAAACAGTAAAATATTTCCTGGAGCACTGTAACAAATTTCCCTTTTAATAGCTCAGCCTGAAAATCCAGCTTTTCTAAATTTAGTACTGCATTCCTGTGGCAACAATAGCCATACTGTTAAATTGTTCAACAACAGCGCCAAAGTCTCATAACATGATTTCAACTAATGTTTACCAGGTACTTATAACTTATGCCATAAATTTAACCAAAGAAACAGTTGTATAATTCCATAAAAGACTTGGCCTCTATAAAATGGCTATAATATGGGTTCTTTTCATGTATGCTGTTCTGGATTATTTTCAGCTGTCTTTGAATCATTTTAGGAAGTTTAAAAGTTATTTTATGCTGTGTTTGCATATTTGATCTTTTGAAATACAAAAGCTGCTGAAGTGCTTATTGACTTTTGGGCCATGTTTAAGCTAAACAGAAAGTACCCAGGAAGGGTGGGAGGGGACACCTGCTCTTCAATAGTGCAGCTTACAGAAAATGAAAATGTAATTGGTAAGGCTGAAACCTCCTTGCTCCCCTCAACCCTGTAAATTTCTTGCCATTTGTTAACATGAAAAGTACTGAATAATAACTACATTAAGTTGGATGTAGTTATTAATCTAGAATCCCAATTCTCTCCACAGAGTTGGATATTCTAAGCAATCTTGGAAATAATTTCATAGCAGTCTTTATCTTTTTTTGAAATCAGTACAGATGCAATTATATTCCTGCATTTTGCAAAACTGTGGAGATATGGGGGAATTATATTAGCAAGTTTTGGTTTTGACCCCATTGGAGCAAATAATTTAATGGTTAGTCATGTTGAAAATACTGTCTTTAATAAATAAACATTATAAATAAAATATTATATGCCACAGGTTCTTCATTTCCACACAATTCAGCAGTTGTATTTTGATTCACAACCATTGAAGCTGTCAGAAACAGAGATTCCTGTGGTTTATGCAACCCTCCACTTGGCTCTTTTGGTTGTCACCACAAGAGCTAGATCAGATAGTTAAACATGAGGGGAAGTGAAAGTGACTGTTCCACAGCAGTGATGGTGCAATTTTAACATTAAAACTAGTTTTCCTCATTTAAACTGTGAAACATTTTAAAAGGTCTTATCAACTTGCAGTTTGCTAAAGAGAGCAATGGAAGCTGATTGCATTCTGCAGGGAATACAGAAAGGTAAGATGTTAAAAGTACACAACAAGGTTCAACATTGCATGGCTCAAGGTTTATATTTAGCTGGCTGGATCACAAGTTGAACATGCCTACTACAGAAAATCTTACATTTCTCCAATGCCTTTGGTTATTTTTTAATAAATGAAACATTTTCATTCATAATACATAAAGATTTTATAAAACACCAGGACCAGGCAGCAGAAATGTGGTTTAAACATATTCATGGCCTGTGTCATCCTCAACCTCACCCTTTAGGGCACCACAAATCAAAATGTGCATCTGAAAATGTGTGTTCCACTAAGACGTTTCTCACCTGAAGTACTCTGCAAGGCTTGTCAAACAGAACAAGAAACGGAAGCTCAATTTAAATGAAGAGCAGTCACTGTGGCTCAAGAAGATACAATATTCCTTCAATATCCCCCCTGTGCAGAGGCCATTCAAACCAGGCAAGCGGAAGCCCAAAAGGTTAACTCCAATCCTAAACCTTAACTTACCTGGTGGGAGGCAGGTCTGTGGAATAGAGATCGGTCTCTGTATCAGCCAGCAGCACAGCTTTCATGCCCCGTGAACTAAGCACCTGCTGGCAGAACTTGCAGAAGAGCACAGACACACATCGGTCTGCAAAAGTCCAACTGCCCGCAGACATGCTTAGGTCAGTCTGGACGGGTGGGGGCTGCAGCGTGTCCCTTGGCTTCTTTCAGCAGGTCAAATAAGACGCTTGCTTTCTGGTGCTTTCTCTCCTCACCCCTTTACTTACAGGACTTTCAGCAGCTCCTGTTTTCTCGGGAAACCTGCGACCACAGTTTAATGCAATGGAAGCTGATTGCATTCTGCAGGGAATACAGAAAGATAAGATGTTAAAAGTACACAACAAGGTTCAACATTACATGGCTCAAAGTTTATATTTAGCTGGCTGGATCACAAGTTGAACATGCCTACTACAGAAAATCTTACATTTCTCCAATGCCTTTGGTTATTTTTTAATAAATGAAACATTTTCATTTATAATACATAAAGTTTAAATGTACCAATCCCGATGCTTTGAGTTGCAACCCAGCCCTTTCCCTCACACCCCTAACCTGAATGAATGAGCCAGCAAGAGACAGGTTCAATTTCGGCCATGAAATATATATATATCGATCGCTCCGAATTAGTCCAACTCGGCTAAACCTTCTCTCCAGGGCTGGGGCGAGGATTAAACGGGAGGAGGGGTGCAATCAGTGCTACGTTGGCTGGTTTGAGCTTCTGGAGGTAAGGCTGGATTGAACTGCAGGCAATGTAAAGCACTCAGCAGAAGCCCATCGGGACTCGACGGGGCTTTCCTCTCCAAGCCCTCGATTATTTCTCTTTATTAACGATCCCCCTTTCGACGCAATCCCCTATTATTAATGCGCCGTGTGCCTAACCTGCAAGTGCCCTCGAAGTCTTTCTCGGTTACTCACTGAACGAACCTGGAGATCCGAATCTCCCGGATTCCTGTCAGAGCCCCCTAATTGGTGGACCCTTCCCCCGCTGCCCGAGCCGCTTAAAGCCCCAAACTCAGGTCGCCTTCCCTGTGACTGTCAGTTTGAATTTTACAATTTCGCATCTCATTGGAAAATGCTTGACCCGCCTCCGGAGAGTGAGAGAGAGATCGACCTCAGCCATTGGAGGAGCTAGGACACGGTCCCGCCTCTTTCCTAACGTACGGGGAAGGAAGCTACGCCCCTTTACTTTGGATTGGTTGGCTTAGAACTGACATTTACATATCCCTTCTTTATGGATGCGAACCAACTTGGGGCGGAGCTTCTGCCTCGCGAGCATCGTGAATGGTCTTCTTCAGGCTTTGGTGGGCGGTGCCGATACGGAAAAGTGGCGGGATCGAGGGTGTGGAGAAGAGAGGATGGGAAGCGGCCATTGGCTCGTGTCGTTGGCAGTTTGCAGAGTTTTCGATTCCGATTGGTGTCGCGAAGTCGAATGGGCGGAGTTCCAGGAGTGGGACTGCGGAGGGAACGGATCGCGGGAGTCTCCCGAAGAGCGCGAGGCGTGGAGGGCGGCTCGGTCTGTGCCAGAAGTGCAGGTAATAATCGCGTCTAAGGATGTTGGAATTTGAAACCGTCTTCCGACTTCAGTTTCACCCTGTCCCATAATTTTCCTTCGCGGGGGTCCACCCTCCCCTCTGCCTTCCCGAACTTGATTATAATTGATTGTAATTAGTATAATTGTCACCCTGTGCAAGCTGGAAGTCCACTTTGATATATAAACCCCCTCCTTTTTTTTTGGAAGAATGTGAGCATTCCCTGCCCGTAATATGCCAGGCTCACCCCCTCCCCTGCTCGAGAAATCAACAGATTTTAATAGGATCGAGGTTCCATCCCATAATACTCCTCATTGCGACAAACTGAGAGCTGGATTGCGAGGAGAAGATTCCCCTACAAACTGCTCTCCTGTGACATAGCTCTGTCAGGTTAGAGTCCCGATCTCGTAAAACTATTCCCCTAAAACTGCTTCAAAAAAACAAACCCTATTTCGAGTGCAACTTCCTGTATTCTGGCTAGGCTTTTAGGATAGTCGGCTAAAATAGCCCCTACGAATAATGCTTCCGGACCAGTGGAATTGTATAGCATTCTATAAGATCTCTTTTTTTTTTCTGAAATATTCTTTCTATTTTCTCATTTATTAAGCAAACATATGTGCAATAGTTGTGCCTAGCCAAACGGCTCCCTAGTTTTATTTGCCCAGCAACGTAGCTGATTTCCTCTCTCTCTCTCAGGTCTTATTCCTTTCTTATATCCTAATACACATTTAGTAATGGGGGAGAGCTTTGTTTCAATATTCTGTTGATCCACAAGGCTAAATGTACCCCACTAGCTATGTAGGATGGCCTGGAAAACAGAATGTCCCTTACCAGATCAGCCTGATGGGATGTGATCGGCTTGGTGAGCTAACAGTTGTGGAAATCCATATGCTTGTGTAGACATGGAAATTTGGGGGGGAGTGTATCTGTATAAATAGACTGTGTCTTGTTTCATTGTATTTGACTTCTAAATAACCAGATTCTCATGAGCAAAGATTTGGGCTTGAATTTGTCTGGTGGAGAGCACTGTAGTGGGAATGGGGTAATATATTTTTTGAGTTATTCCACAGCTGGTTGATGTGACAAAAGTATATAAAACTCTTTTGCACTTAGCCACACTTTCTCTTTGTTTGCCCTTACTCTGTTTAGCCTTACCATTTCCTGTCTCTGTTGGCCACATTGTTTGTTTTTTTGTAGTGGAACTTTTTTTTTCTTGGTCTGTAACCCTTTCTTAACATTTATGGCCAACAGTAGCTTGTGATCCTAAAGTTGTGCCTTGACTCCCCCTGCTGAGACACTCACATCTGTCTTTGAGCTGCATTTCCTAAGTCCAAATAGGCTTTGATGTCTGCATCAAGTACAGTTTTCCTTTGCTCATATGGTCTGGTGAAGGGCAAATCTGCAAACTTAACAGTAACGAAAGTATTTAAATCTGATCTATTGGCTGGACTATGGCTTCAGTTTTATTGTACCAAGGGGGATTAGCCATGCTTATACAATGGCTTTAGATGAATTTATGAGCTCTTGTGGTTCAAATAATATGAAGATTTGGCCCTGGCTTCCCTTTTTAGCTTTCCACATTTCTATGTCTATAGTTGTTTTCTCTCTTATTTACTTTAAATAAATTGCTTTTTTAGGTGGCTGATTTTTCTTTGTCTCCCCATCTCTTCATTTTGATGTGTTTCATGTGTCCTGATGATAACATAGCCTTTCACAATCTGCCCTCAATATACTTATTTTGCATTTTTTCTTTAATGTGACATGTTATAATTACCATTTGACTAGAACTACGTTTTTATCTTGAAATCACATTGGTAGCATTGAATGTGTGTAAGCATTTGCCAACGAAATGCATATTTGAATTTACAGGCAGTTGAACAGAAGAAAGTGGTTTGGAGCATTTTCCACTTCTACCATTGGGAATTTAATTTCATCATCTCCGACTCTGTCCTTTTAAAAAGAAAGAAAAGCAGCAACCGAGAGTCAGACTCTCACACACAACATGTTGTTGCGCAGAAGGACTTCCACTCCCTGGCTGTGCTATTAATGTTAGCAATCAGGAAAAGCCTTTGGGGGCTGCAGATTCTCTCTAGTCTGATGCTGCTGCCACCACCACCACTGCTGCTCAGGATTTTGGTGCAGGAAATCCAAACTGCTGCCTTCTCTGTCCGCTGAGCTCTTCACATCTGCATGTCTCTGCTGCTCGCAAACGCACCATCTCACACCCTCTCTCCATGGACTGATTCCTGTGGAGAAAAGACAAGCCTACCCAACTGATTATTTTGCTCCCCCCCCCCTCTTTTGGGAGGAACACAAATTATATTTATTTGTGATATTCTGGAGGATCTGTTCGGTGGATAACCTTTTTGGGGGGAGGAAACATGACGTCGCCAGCTAAATTAAAAAAGGATAAGGAGATCATAGCTGAATATGATACTCAAGTCAAAGGTAAGAATTAAAAAATGGATCTGATGTACCTCTGTGTGTATATGTGTTTCAGCCTTAATTTCCTAGTGCATGTATTCATACTACATGTTTGGGTGTGGAAAAGCAAAGCATTTGCAGATCATCAGGAATTTGCAGAGGTTTCTCAGTAGTGTATGTTAGAAAGGCTGACAGTGATTGCTGCTTCGTGGGCTGGGTTCTGAGTGACTACTATATCTTCAAATATCTTTTATTTTATGAAGTCTTTATTTTGTCTTCCCATGTGCACATACAAAAGCACACCAATGCATGACAAAACATGGTTTTTAAAAAAATAAATGTGGCATATAATTTTATTTTGATAATAAATGGTACTTGTCCTCTGAGAAATATCTATAATAGCTTAAGAAGCTTTGTGGTTTGGCAGTATTATAGATTCAGCTTGTAGGAGCTTTTTACAGCTGTATGCACCAAAAGGCTTTCACTCTTCATAAATGCCTGCTGTGTATGCACACACCCTTGGCAGCTGGCTGCAATGCCCTTCAATTTAAACTGCATAGGGATAATGATAAACTGTTTCAGTAATTTTGTGCTCTTTTTGGCAAGATGGCTATTAAAGGTTGTGTTGCATTTGCTGCAACAACTTGATGGACAAGCTTCATGCAACAGTATCTAGGTGGCATTAAACAAGTGGGCTTGGCTTCACATCACCACATGTCTTATGTGACACATTAAAGAAATGCTCCCCTAATCCTTTTGTGTCTGCAAGTTTTCAGCATTACTTCATATATGTGAAACCTGCAACCATACAGCCTGACAAAATGCTGCTTATTCAGGAACTTTGAATGAGACTCTTTGTGTGTACGTAAGAGGATGCAACTGAGTAGCTTTGAGTTTCTGGGAAATAAACTTGGCTGTAATCGTAAACTAAATGAGTTCTGTGGTTTGGTCTGTTGTCTTTTAAATAAATATTGATATTTGATATATTCAGAATTATCACCTTCTTTCTCATGTTCTGATTTTCTGCATTACATAGGAGAGGCAAGGTATTTTCCTTTCCTTTTTATTTTTGAAAAGGAAGTCATGAAGATTAGGTCATACATGGCATTTTAAAAACTGATTTGGGATTCCCAGTTTGAGGCAGTCAAAACATTTTTGTTGTCGTCTTCTGTTTCTTCTAATGTTAATATAATCCTTTGATTGGTGATCTAGCACGAGAAGCTGGAATTCCAATGGCCATCAGGAGGCACTAATTCAGTAAAGCATGGTCTCCATCCAGGGAACTGCTGTTTGTGTTAGGTGTTTAGGTGGTCCTAAAATGCAGTTTCAAAATAAATGCACAAGCCGCTTGGATTTCCTTTGTTCCAGGATACAGAAGGGAGGGTTCCCTCCTCCAGCTTTTGAAACAATGCAAAAGGCATTTGTCATGTTCGCAGTGACTGCTTAAATGTTATAGCCACCATTCTAAATGGAGGCATGATTGATTCAGCAGAGTCAGAAATGGAACTCTGTGGTTTGTTGCAAAAAATCTAACTTATTCACGAAGAACAGGACAAATTTTGTCCTTGGAGCCAGATTAATGAAATAGAATATTTTTGGATGCTTTAAAAACTTTTGCATTCTTGTAGGTATTTCCCCAAAAAACACTGGTGTGCATTTTATCCAGCTTGACTATGTCTGCTTCCATATCAGTTGTGTTCTTTGTGGTCATGATGCAAATTCCAGCTATGTGCATCGGAGACAAGATTTTCCAGGTTTGTGGAAAACAAATTAGGTGGTGTTGGGGGAACTGTTATTTGTTATTATTCCATTCACTGCATGGAGTCCATGATTGTCTATGATCGTACAGTATGCAGAACTCAAGATTAGGTACAGTAAAACCTCTGGTGAATGGTAGGATGGTGGAGAATAGAAGTTGAAATTTGATATAATAGTAATATGGTTAGCTATTCTCTTTCTACAAGCCTATGAGACTCAGATTCTATTTGATATTAAAAGGAATATTTGATTAAAGTTTGGGGCACTTTCCCAATACACTGAAACTATGATTTTCAAAATTCTTATGGATAATTGTGACAGAAGTTTTTTGAATTTATAATTTCAATACAATTGAAAGGTTGCTAAATTAAAGTTTTTTTTAATAAAAATATTAATATAAATGGCTTTAATTAGTTATTGAGTTTTTAAATAAAATAGTGCCGTAACTTTTAATTGACCTCAAGGAGATAATAACCAGAGAATCCTAGAAAGTTTGTTTTCAACTTCGTTTGATTCTGGGAATGTTGCCAAGTTTCACATTCTTGAATGACAGGTGCAGATATTTTGAATACTCAATTCTCCCCCCTGTCCCATTCATTGGATATATGAAAGCGAAATGGTAGCACATTCTTAATTAGTTCCTGTAGCATATTTATTATTTATACATTTTTCTACTCCTTTTTTCATTACTGTAAAGCTTCTTTGCATCAGAGTAGCAACATCAAAAGAAGCATCCTATGCAGAGCTAGCAGAATTTTCTGTTGTATTCTTACTTGTTTCACTGGTATCTTTTATTCTATTATATTCTTCATTGGTGCTTTTAGATATAAGTGGCATCCACCTGAAGAATAATGTTAGATCTTCTTAGTTCTTTCCTTCAACAAAGTGATTTTTACCATAACTATCTGATCCCATAGCCAGATATGGATGTGGGTATTTAACCTGCATATCAAGGTTGCAAAGAAGTTAAGAATGCCAAATTGTGTTAAGTGCTGATGTGTGGAACTATGTAGGATTGGTCTTCCAGAAACCTTGGCTCTTGAATTAAACAGATCCTTATGCTACTTCTGGTTTTCCATTTTCTTATCTTCTATGCTTCCATCAAAGTGGGCACCTTGTGGTTTTTGATCCATATGTTTCTATCAAAATTGTATCACAAGAGCCATGGTGGCAAGTGATTAGAATGCAGTATTGCAGGCTAACTCACTGCTCAGAGCCAGGAGTTCAATTCTGACCAGCTCAAAGTTGACTCTGCTTTCCATCTTTCCAAGTTTGATAAAATGAGGTCCCAGATTGTTGGGGGCAATATGCTGACTCTTTAAACCTCTTAGAGAGGGCTGTGAACCATTGTGAAATACTATACATGTCTAAGTGCAATCTATTGTGAAATCTAGTGAAATCTATTGATTTCAAAAGACTTGGCAAGAGTTTAATTCTGGTACAATGATTTGATCTTTTCCTGCTATATGCCACCCACTTTTGGCTCTGATTCCATCTCACTCTTTGCATGGAATGAGTTTATTAAGTCAATACCAGTGAAATAAAGGGTAAAAGAAACTAATTTTTAAAAAGGCGCTTTCCTTGGTATTGCTTCCTGGGTGAAGTTAAGAGTACTGCTAAATATCAGTAATCCCAATTTTCTTATTTCAGTGTCCAAAAGTTATAATCTGCATGTCAAACTTAGAATTAACAGTGAGAACAAATAACCATTGGAGCAAATTGCCTTTGGAAGTTGTGGGTGTTCCATCACTAGAGGCTTTTAAGAAGAGACTGGACAGCCATTTATGAGAAATAGTACAGGGGGTTGGACTAGATGACCTCCAAGGTCTTTTCCAACTCTGTTACTGGTACTGTAACTTAGTAGATATTCTGTGTGGGCATTAGGGAAAAAAGAAAATATTCTGTTTTATTGGTCCCTTTATTGGCAGTACTTAATTGAGAGTTGGCGTAGCTTAAGCTTTTGGGAAGGTCTTTTCCCAAGTGAGGGATTTCTGCTTGTAGTTACTTAGCTGGAAAGAAGACGCCCTGCCTCTTTGAAAGCTCAATGAACTATTAATCATTTAATTGTTGATAGATCCTTGATTTTTAATTCTTCTGATTGGTGGCACAGACAGAACAGCTTTATCCGCTCCATCCAGTTTCTGTTTATTATTTTATAACTATACTTTTTCAGAAAATAAGAGTACACAGCTATTCCCAACTTACAACAGTTCAATTAGTAACTGAAAAAAATGACTTATGACCGTTTTCACACTTACAACCATTGTAGCATCCTCATAGTCACGTGATAAAAATTCAGATGCTTGGCAACAGATTCATATTTATGAGTTACAGTATCCCAAAGTCATGTGATCCCCTTTTGTGACCTTCTGACAAACAAAGCCAATGGGGAAGCCAAATTCACTTAACAACTGTGTCAAGAAAGGTCATAAAATGGGGCAAAATTTACTTAACAAATGTCTTGCTTAGCAACATAAATTTGGGGCTCAGTTGTGGTTGTAAGTCAGGACTATTTGTACTCAAAAAATTAGTTGCTTCAATCTTTCAGACCTAAACACTTAAAAAAACAACACTTAATTAGTAGACAAAACCACTATTCTCTGTGATGTGTGAATATCTCAGAGAAGTGATTACATGCCATACGTAATAGCTTAGCAATAAAGGTTTCTGAAGTGATACCTAACTGTAAATTCCCTGAATGATCCCTCAACTTTTAATGTTTTCTTTTGAAAAAATGCTTCTCTTTACAAAAGATGGAAACAATGTATGAATTAGAATAAACAAGTCAGTAGCTATATATAGGTTAACAATGTAACTTAACACTGATCAGGTGAGAGAAAAAACCCCACAGGTTCTCTCCTGCTGGAAAGCTGTAAGCTTCAGAAATAAGAGAAGTAAGAATGAAGAGGATGTATGAGAACATTGAAAGAACCATCCATTTTCTCTGTATATGGTTATAATTATTTTTGTGATATGCAAGCTAGTATGAACCCATTTATCACTAAAATGTGAAAGTAATTGCTTTGAAATCCTCTCTCTATATCTGCACTCCTAGAAAGCATGTCTTCAGTTCAGTGATCTTGAATGATAGCAATTAAAATGCATGGCAGATTAAAAGGAGAAAAATGTTGAAGAATTGAAATTCTCAAAATCCTCGGGGGGAGTATAAATGGGAGTGATAGTTGCTATTAGTTACTATTGGGCATTGTGGAAAGCCTAAGGAACCTTCATTAGTAGAGATTTCCATATGGAGTTTCCAATAACAC